AGTTAAAAGACTCTGTTTCAACTGAGTCGAAAACTTGCTTTAAAAACTGATCAAAAACTTTTTTTTAACAAAAAATTTGTTTCAATTAAATTGTATGACATTTTAATCACATTCTTGCTGTTATCTCAATTGTGAAAAGGTTCCAAAAATTTAGATCACGACCACCCCAGAAAAAATCCTGGATACACCTGGCATGCCATCCCATTGCACCGCATCCCATCCATCCCATCTCATCACATTCAGTGCCATCCCATGCATGCATGCCATGCCATCCATCCCATCCCATTGCCACCGCATCCCATCCCATGCCCATCCCATGCCATCCCATCCCATCCATTCCCATCCAATCAGTAAAAAATTGATAGAAATCAAGATAAACAATGTGGGCCGCCAGGCCGCACATGCTCATCCAGTGGCTGCGTTGTTCTGCTGATAAAATTCAATTTTGTACATAGCAAGACGTCGTATACATAAGTCTCTTTATTTCTTGTTTGACTTTCGTAGCCATTCGAACAAATATCAGCTACATTTCGCACCCACCTAGGCTCTATGGGCTAATTCTAATACAGAACAATAATAACAAATTCAAATACAAGTTAATGAATGACATTGACGTTGACATAAAATATATTCAACATATGAGCATGGCATCTTCCAAGTTTAATTAGGGCAGCGTGGGGTTCCTTTCTCTCCCACCTCCCTTCCCACTGCGTCCACCTCCTCCCTCCTTGCCTCCACTTCATCCTCTTGCTCTCCACTTCCACCCCTTACCTTCCCTCTCCCTCCCCCTTGCTCCCACCCCCCTTCCCTTGCCACACCATCGTCGCACGACCTAATGTACCCCGTTTCCCGCTCGCATACACAGCGTATCACCGTTTTTCCATGTTCCCCCGTCTCAAATTACTACTCTTCTCTTCTCTCTCTCTCTCTCATTTAATCTTAGACCTTTCTCTCTCTCTCCTTACATTATATAAATAAATAAAAAAAACCAGCCGATGTGCCCTTTACTGCCCTCAATAAAATACTTCGTTCCTATGTCAACTGAGGTGTAACAGCCATAGAAATAATAATATATAGGTGCTCTCTAATATTTCTATGTGGTAACAGCTTGTTCGCTAAACTGGTAAATGGCGTTATTACGCACGGCCATAGCTAATGATATATGTTAAGATCATGATGGAAAAGTAAATATATATATAAAGTATATTAAAGTATATTATATGGTACTAGGTTATTATTATATTCGTTGAACAAAGTTACTGTGAATAAATCTATTTAAACTAGGCCTTAGTTTGCCGCGAGATGGCAGCGTGCAAGTGTATCAATAACTCAAAGATGGGCATCACCCTTCGTGCGTGATAAACTCACTTCCAGTTGAGATTGCTGAAATCAAGTATATTCAGGCAGCTGAGGAATTTCGCTCAGCTGTGAGTTAACACATCTGCATTGCAGGTTGCAGGCCAATAATTATGATTAGAATTAGTGCAGTTCACCCCTGCATGCGTAATGGGCTTGCCCCCAGTTTTTGCTACCACGCGAAGCATATCAGGGATTCTTACAGTGTGCTTAATACAGGGTGCTAATACAGAAGTGCTTTAGAAAAAGATTATGATTTAATGGAGCCAAATCTTGTTCAACAAACATTTGCCTTTGCAAATGAACTTTGAACTGCAGGCCTCACATCACAATAGCAAAAAGCAGTTCAGATCCTTGTTAAACAGTCAACAAATCCATGGTTTAACCCTCCTCTGAGGGCTCAAAAGGTTATCCGACACTTTACTCTTCGCATGTCAGCGCGAAAGTAATTTTATGGTCCTTTTCATAAGCTATAAAAATGTACGGTCACCGCTGAAAGAAAAAAGTTTTTAAAATCGCTCCGTCAGACCATTCTTTCATAAAAATGTCTAAAAATCTGCCCTGTGCCCCATTGACTTTAGACCTGTGACTCAATTTCGGCCACAGTGATAGGGCTTTATCCTACCATGATGGCTATACACCGACTATCACGAGCCTAGGTCGAGCCGTTTAGATTTTGCTCCGCAAACTCTGCATTTCCTCCCTATACCTTAAGTTAAGGGAGGGGAGATGTTTACTCTTCTTTTACACCTCTTGACCTTTAATCTTTGACGCCCAGCTTCGACATCCCAACTGCGTTTTCGGATTTACCCCACGTCCCGAATTATCGTGGACCGTACGGTTTCGAAGCCGTTTAGATTTGTGCCAACTGTTGACGAACGACGCACGGCCGGGACGCAACGCACGCTTATGCGATTCTAGAGCTGCATCTGACTATTGTACAGATAAGCCTAAAAACTGAGTTGGTGATATGTACATGCTTTCGTGATTCACGTTTTTTGTCTGTGAATCGGTTTCGTATGGGTGGTTCCATGGTTGAATGGATGGATAGAAGGGATCGATGGGTGGTTTCTATGGTTGAATCGATGATGATGAATTAGAAGAATGATGGGTGCGTTGAATGGCATGAATCGAAGGATGGATGGGTGGTTGTATGGTTGAATGGATGAATAGAAGGATGATGGGTGGTTGTATGATGGATGGAAGTGACAGATGGTGATGGAGTGACAGATGGATAGATGTTGATGATGAGGCATGCAGCAGAAATAGCAACAGTAATGGCAGCAGAATCGAACAACAGGCAGTCATTGATAGCACAATTTTTTTATTTTTGCAGTGAGAGCTACAGGACGAGAAATAGAAAGCACACTGTGTACACACAAGCTATATTGAATCGCTAGGGCCTAACGAATATCTACAACGTTCAATTAAAAAAAGTGCACATTCGCACCACCGCCACCTGCGGCCCTCGTTACCCTGCTACATCCATCACACACGTCCAGTGCCATACACACATAGCAAAATGCCGCCCCCCCCCCCATCTCTCTCGTCCATCCCTCCTCCTGCTGCTGGGCTGCTGCTGCATCAGACGCCTACGCTTAGCGGCGTACACGGGCCAGGCGGTCTTCCTCTGTAGTCTGTGTATGAGACACTGCGCCCGCGCGCTCCCCATCAGCCGCCAGCCAAGCCTGCGACGATGCCTTTCCAGCCAGGAACACGAGATATTTGCGCAGGTTGAGACAGGACTCAGCTTGTTCTCAGCGAACACGGCGCGAGCGCGCACGCGCTACCTTCAACATCTCCTGCCGCTGCCACAGTGCCAGGATGCGCTGCTCCCTCAGCCTGCCCCACCCCCCCCCTCACCGGATCCGCGGTATTTCAGCGCCCTTGTGGGGGATCTCGGCTGGGACCGCAGCCGATTTCTCACGTTGTAGTCTACGGGGATGATGCTGAGGCGGGCCAGGGCCCGTCTGCGGTAGTCAATGCTCGACGGTGGCGCTTCGGGCCAGTCCGTTGACGATGTAAGCGTAGCTCCGACATGAGCCGCTCCGCAAACTTGCTCCTCGTCTTCGATGGTCGCCGCGAGCGTCAGCGCTCACCTTCGCCCACAGCCTGCGAAGTCGACTGCGGGAGGCTGTCCCGCAGCAGGCTCTTCCATCGCGTAGCCGCGCCCACACGACGGCACGACGGCGCCCTCTGCAGCTCGCGGCAGGTTCCGTGAACGGTACTGCGATGGTGGTTGGACGGACGGAGCGACGACCGCGTCGCTGGTGCCCGCTCTGTAGAGCCCCAGCATGACAATGACAAACAGCCACCAGGAGATGTGCAGCTATGTGCGCCGCTGCGCCCACCGGGCTTGTACGCTGCCGCCCTGATACGGCCAGCGTGCCTTGATCACGTACATCGAGAAGTAGCTGACGAGGGGGAGCGGTGCCCGGGGATACGGGCGTTTGCGCAGGCGAGTGTGGCGGTCCGGCGGCGGAGGAGAGGTGGGAGCTGGCGGACCTGAGGTCGGATCCGGTAGTAAGGTGGGAGCTGGAGGAGAGGTAGGGAGACCCGGTAAGCGGGGAGCGGAGACCTGGCAGGATTTGCGGACCCTGACGGGAGGAGGGAGCTGATGGGAAGGTGGTGTAGCTGGCGGGGAAATCGCGGAGCCGGTGGGAAGGTGGGAGCGAGGTGGGAGGTGGGAGTGGAAGCGGTGGGGAGGCGGGACCGAGCGGCAAGGGATGGCGCGCAACCCGGCGGGGATTGGCGATGGGCCGCGGCAGGGATGCGATGGAACCGGCCGGGGATGAGATGGGGCCAGGCGGGGATGCGATGATACGCCGGCAGCGGATGCGATGAGAACCGCGGTAAGGGATGGATGGAACCGCGGCGGGGATGAGATGGGGCCGGCCGGGGATGCGATGGGGCCGGCTGGAAAAGCGATCGAAGCCCGGCAGAGATGCCGATGTGGGCCGCGGCGGGGATAGTCGAGGGGGCCAGGCTGGCAGCGCGCGACAGCCAGCAGGGGTATTTGACGACGGGCCGTAAGCGAAGAAACATTAGCCAGACCTGCATGCGCTGAACGGCGAGAACACGCTGGAGCCTCGACGCGGCCAGCGTGGGGAGCGGACGATGAACACGGTGACGCTGTAGATGACAGCTCTCTAGTGAAGCTGACGCGTGGCATTTCTGGATGACGTACACGACAATGTCGTAGGTGGAGTCTAGGATGTCTCGCGACACGCCCGCCTGCCGCGGTCCCCGCTACACGTAGTGCGGCGAGTACGCTGAAGTTGTAGAAGGTGGTAGAGGGTGAGATTTTTGCTTGGAAATTGCGAAGGTCCGAGCATGAAATCGGCAGGTCCCGGACCTCGCCCTATTTTCAGCCCCTGTATATGCTAGCTTTATGCTCAAACTCGTACGTGTATCAATGTGTCTTCAATACATGTATGTATGTATGTTCGTGTAAATTTAGGAAGTTTTTTTTAATAGTTATGTTATTATTTCTCCAACATGAAGTGTAAACCCTAGGTATGTTGAATATCTTATCGATTGATCTGTATTCTGTTAATATAGTCTTTGTCTTGCAAGCAAGAAATTGAGTTTTGTAACTGCAATAATTCTGGCGGATTAACAACATCACGATGGATTTTTTGCAGGCACGGCCGTCAACACACGATTTTGCCCAGTAATGTCAACTACAGAGCAAACGTGCTGGCTCTCAAAAATGAAGGCTGCACACACATGGTTGTTACGACGGCGTGCGGATCACTCAAAGACGAGATCCAGCCGACAGATTTCCTGATACTGGACCAGTTTTTAGACAGGTGAGATTTAGACTCACATAGCTATACGTTAAGTGTGTTTGCATTCTCACATATAGCAGCAGGCTTTCTGTACTGCACGTTGGAGCTGCCATCTCGCTTGAATTGACCTGGACACGCAGTTGGTTTTGACGTGTTTATTTAATTTACAGAAGTCGTGTACATTATTTTCACGTAAGATCGTAAATAAGACTCCTTAAAACACCTCAGTTGCATTGGGTGCTTCGATACCACGAAGCGAAGTTATCGGAAAGTCACACCAGCGTCGACCGAAGATTTACATCGCCTCTTTATGTTGATTTCTCCCTCTATCTAAAAGACCAAGTAAATGCCCACTATCTGATGCATGAAATAAACGAAGGGTGTTAACTCTATACCAAGTGTTTACTCAAGTGTTCTACTGGCTGTCTATATCAATGTCCTATTTGCCATCACATCACAATATTTATGATAAGTTCTGTATCTTGTAGCAATATTTGTTGTGGGGATATTTCCCTGGCATTTTTCATTGAGGGTTGCAAGGTTTGCTTATTTGAGTGGCTACCATTGACTGTGATAATGATAGCCCGATGTCCTATGCATAATGCATGATGCATGTTAATAGTTGCACCGCAAATGTGCATTACTTTCTAGAACTCATAAGAGAGATCAGACATTTTATGATGGTGCCCACTCAGAATACAAAGGCATATGTCATCTTCCACTGGACACGCCTTTCTGCACAAGGACAAGCAAAGTAAAACTTTTGTAGACATTGCTATATATCTGTGTTGAAGCTGATGGAGTTGCTTACATTCTCATTAGTTTTCTTTTGATTTTACGCTGAAATGTTATCACAGTCGGGAGAAATCACAGCTCATTTTCATCAACCAAATGGCAATATTACTAGCTGAGCATTATCCTAGACAGGTATTCACTGCAATACTATGTGAATCATATCCATGTAGACGAAAGCTTAATCTGCAATATATTGTTTTTTTGGTGGGTTGCACAGATTTTGTATGATGCGGCCAAGGATTGCGGTGTGCGCTGTCACCCCTCGGGCACCGTTATGACAATCGAGGGGCCTAGGTTCTCATCAAGGGCCGAGAGCAAGCTGTGGAAGTTGTGGGGTGCTGACGTTATCAACATGACCACTGTCCCAGAGGTATTAATTCACCTGCCATTGAACAATCACTGTCAACATCACATTCAGCTGATTAAGTTCAATGTCCCCCCTGGTGTGATTGACAGGAAGCTCAGGCCAATCACTGTTGCATTAGCGCAACGCTTAGGAACGAAGCGCGGCGCAGTAAGCAGCAATTTCCATTCTGGCATGCACGCATGAAAAGTGTGTAACTGGTTTAGCTTGGCCTACTTAACAACAAAATTTTGTTTGGGGGGTTATTTCGTTCAGGTGGATAGGCCGAGTACTATCATTACGCAATACCTGTGATAATCCCCTAGATATTGTTGCTAGATTAAGAACGTTCATGTGTGTTTTGCATGCTTGCACCCAGAAAATGTCCACTTCGTGGCCCTTCATTGATAAGCATCATGTTTATAACAGCTTTTCTCAACATTACCGGACAGAAAAGTAATATTATGAATGTTAGAATTCATTCCAATGATACCTCTTAGGAAACAGTACCTCTCAGAGTGCGATAGGTCCATCTGACGTAACAGCATAACTACGATCGTCGGCCGGATCGTAACACCGGCGCATCCATAAGGTCGGGTCATTGCCCGCTTCACCATGTCTTACAGGTTGTGCTTGCAAAAGAAGCAGGGATGTGCTATGCTGCTATTGCCATGGCAACTGATTACGATAGCTGGAAGGAGAACGAAGAGCCTGTAAGTAGAGCAGCAAGTATCGCGTTTAAGTTTGAACGCGTCGATGTGTCGTTTAAACTTTTATGCGATATATTTAAAAATGATAATAATGAAGATAATGAAAATAGTAACCCTTTTCAGCTTGATACATATCAACAGGGGTTAATAATGACAAATTTGTCGTTATTAACCCCTGATATCAAGCAGCCTTTCCTTGTCTAAAAGTACTTGCAGATGTAGTAGTGCTTGTGTGCGTCGGGGATTTTACGCGGCGCCTCTCGTTGTTGCTGTGCGCAGGTCTCGGTTAAGCTTGTGATGGAGACGGTCAAGGCAAACAACGTTAATTCCATTAAGGTTCTAACCCGCGCCATTCCGCTCATTGCCGCTGAGAACTGGGATACCACGCTGAAGGAAAACGCGGTAATGTTGACCGAACTCTGCGCCGTTGTCGATAAGCAATATTCTAAAACCTGGTTTGTAAGATGGTGTGTGAAATTGGACAAATTATAATGAATTTAGCAGCAAGGTTATATGGTTATAAATGAGAAAGGGTATCCATTAATCTATTAATACTTAATAGTCAACTGTGCAGATTATATAGACATGGCTTTATAATGAATTCAAAGAACTAGCCTCGCATGAGAGATGTCAAAGTTGAAGTCCCTCGAATATATGTATGTGTGTGTGCGTGTGTGCGTACGTACGTACGTATGTATACATACATACCTATATACCCAGGATTCTCCCCAGGAATTTTAGTAGGTGTGTCGGGGCAATTCATCCCCGATTGCAAATTGTCAATTATGCATGTCCTAAGAGGTCCTAATGCATGTCGATTAAACAATCAAGGCATGTCAGAGGATTTATGGGATGCCACAAATTTCCTTCAGCTTTGAAGGCTTGTCAGACCCGACATGCATTAAAAGGCCTGGGAGAACCTTGATGCCTATATATAAACTACATGAAACCTGATTTTAAATTTGATCACTGTTTTGTCTAGGACCTGGTAACATCATCAATAATCTGAAAGACTCAATGGATCAGAGAATAAGAGGAAACCATTGGAGTACACATGTCATACACAGCTTCAGAACTAACTAGTTAACATGCATATATAGAGATCAGGTTTAATTAATATACAAATGACGCATATATATAATGCATGAGCATTTGTTTCTTTGCTCACGGTATGTGGTTACGATACAAGTGGAATGATGAATATCTGATGTAATGTAAAATGCAAGCTAGCGAGTATAAAGGTATAGTTTTTAGAATGAATTTTTCGACACTCGTTTATACATGAGTATATGTTCATGCTGTAAGGTATTCCTGCTAGGCAGAGGACCACTGCATGGTATTCCTGGCGAATGCAGTGAGCTTTAGCTGTTATATTTGGTGGTTATCTACAGCTCTTTTTTATGACATCGAAGTTACCATGGCATAGACAAAATTTGATATTGAATATTTGTGATAATACGTGCACTTATTCACTCGTGATATTTTGACGTTTATTTGCGTAAAAGTTTTAGAGATATAATACAACGTGATGTGATATAACATGATCTAACTAATGCTGTATTGCAAGAATTTGTCGAGTAGTGGCATCATTAGTATATAATATAGGCGAATATTGCTTCTGTGCTGCTTGAGTTTACGGCCACATGGTGGGAAGGTAGTTTTTTTTTTTTGATGTCCGTTACATTATATTATATGTTATACAGAATATCTACAACACTGTGATGGTAACATAGTTCAGTGATGGTACAAACAGGTAAATGGCATAAACAGTTTTACAAAGTAGTGAATATATGAGCGTACTAATTATACTTCGTTACAAGAAGTTCATAAATGAAGGTAAGCAATAGTAGTAGCTGTAGGCCTTGAGCATGAAAAGTATAATTTTACTATATAAGATATGAGTAGGATATACATGTTTGTCATATACATGCACGCGCACGAACGCACGCACGCACGCACACGCGCATCCATCTATATTTGTTTTGCGCCACCTAAGATGTCTAAAAAAAAGTGACTTATATTGTGATAATTTATGTAATAAACATGATAGAGTTGCCCATTTACCATAAAATTGTTCAATCTTCTTGTTTGTCGTACCAATATATTTTTCAACATCCATTACGTATTTCAGGTATGCCTTAACTGCAGCAATGTTTGGGCTCCTACCGCTTGCTTTGCATCTATAGATGACATATTTGGTGGACATTTGGGGTCAAGGGTCAAATATTAGAAAAGGGGAAGGAAGGGGGAATATTACGCCCTTACGGTAATAATCATTTATCCAAAAAAACAGGATGTTTGCTCTCAATCTTCATTTCAATATATACTTCCAATACTTCTAGTGAAGTCTGGTGATGGGCAATACATAATCATTGGCGTTCTTCAGTAATTTTGATGAGCGATAAGAATAAATGTTGACATTCGTTGTAATTCACTTGTAAATATACTTGTTGCTTAGAAATAACTCTGGTTGCATGCAGTTATTACTAACTCCTGAATGCGGGATTAGACCATTTTTAGCTCACATTGACATCGTCAGGATGAGCTATTGCCATGGGGGTGTCGTCCGTCCGTCAACATTTGGGTACTGTCAACGATAACTTGAGAACCGTTTGACCCACATGTTTCAAATTGTATACAGTTGTTACTCCTGTGGGAGAGATGTGAACATCCTATTTTGGAGCACGCCAGTTGACCTACTTTCGAGCCACGCCCACTTGGCAAAAAGTCAGTTCAGGTTCAATGGATTTTGCTCATTTTTGGTATGTGAATGAATAAGGACTGGGCCCAAAACATATCACAGGGGTTTTGATATTTCTTAAAAATTATGCAAATTAGGTAGATTTTGGCAGTTTCACTATGCATTTCAGTGTCTGCCTACGGTTACCGATAACTCAAGAACAGTCTGACCCACATGTTTCAAATTGCATATAGTTGTTACTCCTATGGGAGGGATTTGAACGTCCTATTCTGGAGCACGCCGGTCGGCCTACTTTCAAGCCACGCCCACTTTTTGGCAAAAATGAAAATGGCCATCTAGATTTATTCGATTTTGTTAAATTTACCTACCTACCCTAGGCTACCTACCTACTTAATCATACCTACGTGTAATATTGTGTTTTAGATTCTTCGTTACAGTAATTTGACTGGAATAGTTTATTGCTTTTATTTGCGCGATAATCGAAAACCAAAATGGCGATTATTTAGGCGTAGCGCCATCTCTTGCCCAGATTTCAGACTTCCAGATCTGAAACATTTATTTTTGCATCAGAACTAACTCTGAAACAAAGCAGTGCAATTTTTATTAGTATAAAACGGGGAGTAAGGACATTTGATCACATTTCTTTCCGTCATAAATGAAACACCAAATTTTTTTTTAATATTACCTCCCTCTTCTACCACACCCAAGGTGAGCTATAGTGTCATTGACACTTTCATTATTGTATCCCCCGAACGAAGTTCGTGGGGATACTATGGGTTTGGCATCGTCGCGCCGCCGCCGCCGTAAGAGATTCCTTGTGACGCGCTCTTACCGCTGCAGTACTTCTCGGATCATCTTCAATTCGAATGGAATGGAATGGAATGAATGGAATTTCGAATGGAGGTGCGTTATCGTAAAGCAAAAGACATATCGTGTTTTGGTGTGGGCGGAGTCATCGTTGCCATGTAACATTTTTTGTTGAATATTCTAGAACCTGTAACTCTGCACTTTTTACCCGATTGTCATGAAATTTATATTTGTATTTAAAATTATATTTAAATTTATATTTAAATTTAAATTTAAAAATAAAATTTAAATTTATATTTGTATTAAAATTTGTATTTAAATTTATGATTGGTCATCAAAATATATATATGATTATATATAGGACATGTTATATCGGCCCTGTGTGCCAAATTCCATGACAATCGGGTAAAAACTGCAGCAAGTTATCAGTTCTACAATTTTCCACAAAAATGTTTGTTAACCCATGGCAACGATGACTCCGCCCACACCAAAAAACGATTGCGCGTCTTCGCTTTACCATAACGCACCTTCATGCCAAATTTGAAAGATGATCCGAGATCGGGTAAAAACTGCCCATCAGGTCACTTCGACCTTTATTTCACCTTTACCTTGACCTTGATCATATTCTCTTCCGCTCTCTAACTCGGCCCCTAATTGACCTAGCGCGACCAAACTTGTATGCTTACACATCTTGGGGAGAAGGTCTGTCGCATACCAAAACCACCACTGGCCCTTGACCTTAGTTGACCTTCACCCGTTGACTTACATTTCCTCTTTCGGCCTCCTAAGGGTACACCAGATTCCATATACTTGCACATCTGAGGCACACCAGTTGTCTAACAAACCTTCGTCTTTGTGACTTATTTAACTTTACCTGCCTTCTACGTCCTTACAGAGATTTTCTATTCATACTAGATTCACGAAGGGGATACATGTAGTTCTGGCGACAACTGCTCGTTTCTAGTTATATAGGATCTGGGAAATACCAAATAATCTTTCGTGATTTGGGAAGAAGTCATCAGGGGTGTTATCATCAACGTGATTTTATATATAACCGTAACCGAAATAATATAATAAAACTAATTAATCATGTACAAATGTGCAATTGCACAAAAAACAAATAACTAAATACAGAAACAAAAATTAATTAATTCGATCTGTATATAGAGAATGAACCACAACCCAGTAATGAAACACGAATAAGGCTCACTTAATAAAGACATTATTTATTTACAACTACAGTATTTCCCACCAGTAGTGACACATCCACTACAATTCAATACTGGGAAACCATAATTTTTAGTCGTACTACTGTACGTACGTCATGTATCATAACCCAGTGGTGTGTCCAAGCGTGGCTCACTTGCTACAACAATGTGTCCATGTAGATTTCTCATCAGCATGCGAGAACTTCAGCACCATCCATCCCTCACAGCGCCACACACACGCAGACATATATATATATATATACGTACAAACGCAAACACGCACGCACACACTAACACATATGCAGGCACACGCAACCACGCACTCTCTCACGCGCACACACACACGCAACACGTACCTTCACGCAACAATTAAAAGCCTACTATAAAGAAATGTTCACATTCTGATGACACGATGTGAACACTGCCAACACGAGAGACAGACGCCAGCGACCGCACGGCAGAAGAGAACTGGAGCTCCACGACACAAGACACTTGGTGTCTTTCAACAGAGACCAGCTGCGCTCTGTAACGGAACACTGTAACTCTCACACCAGTAGATACTCGATCGCATCGCTCCTCTACTGTAAGCGTGCATCCACATTCCCCCGGCAGACCCACGCTGCAAGAACAGCTGCCGAGGATGGGATGGGGTAACGACGAATACCATGTATTGTTCTTAGTTAGCAACCACCTCCTGTAGAAACTCGCTGGTGTTCCACTAGTCGAATATCGCCACTAACGAGCGTCCGCCCAGTCCGAACAACGACACGCTGCATGAAAACCAAAGGGTGCCACTGTCTACTGTCATGGCGTCTGAGCGGGAATAATGCTCGCGGCGTGGTGTGGTGGCGGCGACACGTGTCAGCCGGTGAGATCGTGCGCCTCGAACGCCGACTGTTCGTAGATTTCTCCGCGCACAATGTGACCGCCGAAAAACCGACCATTCAGCGAGTTCTTAGCAGCTTCTGCCTCTGTAGCAACAATAAACACAAGGTCATATGTATACACATAATCATATACATCAATAGAAAATAATTTTAAAGGTTTTGATTACTAATCAAACGGCAATAAACACATTATGAACTATTATGAAAACGTAAACTGTAATCAATGTAAATCATGTAAATCTTGTAATGTAAACGTTGCGCAAGTGAAGCTTGAAAAATAAGAATGACCAACGAATAGATGGATGCATGGACGGTGTGTGTGCGTGCGTGCGTGAGTGCGGCTGACGTGTGACGAAGCTCACCCGCGGTCGTGCTGAACTGCACAAAGATCTTCACGATGACCTCAGCATCCTCCTCCTCGCCTTGCTTCTCCTGATAGATGATGACGCGGTCAACCTGACCGAAGCGACTGCACTCCTCCGTCACCTCCGTCTCAAGGTCGTCGTCAAGGTCCTCTGGGCCGACCATGTTGCGCAGCACCAGAACTCGCGACTGCAAACACGAGTAGTCGTAACTGTTACTACGCACGCGCGCGACCGGATACGACGCGAGTCGGAAAACACCGTTATCACTGATGTGGGGGGAAAAATGTGTGATTTTTAATGAAATATTTGGTAGGCAGATGTCAAGGTTAGTATATATATATATATATATATATACCCCTCGAGTGTAACATCGCGAACTTCATGATGTCACCTGCTGCCACCTATTGTGACGTCACATCCTGATGAAGATTTCCCGAAGAGAGGTCGAAAATTTCGATAACACAAGACTAATATGAATTCATAGTTTCAACGAAATCCAATGAACTTATTTCATTCATATATATATATATAAACACTGCACATTTTTATCACCAAGAATATACCCATCATGATTCACTGAAACACCAATCGCCGTGGATGCAACACAACAATTGCGGCCGTCGCTACGAACGCGGCGCTTCGCACGCGAACACACGTACGTCGGATTTGCGCAGCAGCTTCTGCATCACCATGTGACGCGCGTTGGTGCCGCTGATGTGCATCTCTTCCTGCTGCTGAAGCGTCTGCTGCTGCTCCACCTCCTCCTTGGCGGGCGCCGCCGGTTTGGCGATGGCGGCGGCGGCCACCGGCAGGGCGATGTTGAGGGCTGCGGCCACGGGCAGAGCGATGTTGAGGGCTGCTGCGGCGGGCAGACCCAGCCCGCTGTAGGGCAGACTCGTGACGAGGCCGGGCGGCGGGATGGCGACCCCGGCGTACGCTGCTGCCGCCACGACGGGGGGCGCCACCGCCGTCGGCTGCATGGTGGCGCCCGAGAAATTGATGCTGGTGACGACACCTGGTGGCGGAATCACGAGGCCTGAAAGTAGGTGAAGGTGTCTGAGATAACAGATCAGGCTCAAAGGCTAGGCCACGTTTGTACTCATATGACATTCTGGGGGCATATGGCTGGCAAAAAAATTGTCTGTTAATAAGCATGTATAATGGCAGTGCACTGTCGTATGCACTTCATGGAGCAGTCACTGCATGGATACGTAAGGAGATGAAGGGAACCCTGAAGAAATCAATCATTAATACATTGCTCCACGTGTCCAGAAGAAATGTTGGTACAACTAGACTGTTTTCTTCGCGTTTTTCTTTGAATTTTGAGAAAAGACTATAGTAACATTGCAAGCACCTATAATGAATAGAGATATATACTCGGCCATATATATAATATATATTTGAGTTCGTATGTATGTATCAA